TGCATGCATACCTTTCAAGTGCCCCACATTGTGTGGGGCTTCCCACTGTGGCCTCAGTTTTATAAATGGTCCCCCACTACCATTCCAAAGGCCCTGTTTGCCTGCTTGGCAACTTTTCCTGGTTGCAAGTCGCACATCTTGGTGCATGGTGTCATCACATCTCACCCTTGCACACAGTCACGGCCATGCTGCAATTAAGTGGAGCAAGACGAGCCACCACGTGACAATAAACAACTACAGCTGAGTACCAGTCTCTAAAGTTACAAGCGCTTGCATTATTTTAACCTTAGCACTTTACAAGTACCATGACTGCGAGTACAGGCATAAAGGCCATATACAAATTGTGAGAGTAGGCAGGACACTGCTGGAGTTCTACTGCAGCTACCCAATTTTTTCAATATTTTCAGACCATTATTTTAGTATAAACATGAAAAACGAGGACTGCAATACAAGCACTCAGGTTCTCAGCAGTGTATAGTGTGTTCTTAGTAAACAGAAGCATTGTTTAGTTTCATAATGATACGTTCCAGGCTATTTGCATGCTTGAACATATATATACTTTGGAAAACAGAGTGTACAGTAAAAAATGGGAAGGCCCTCATTGTGTCCCTCATTTCAAGGGGTATAGTCCCTCACCATCCCTCATTTCAGATTTGGGGTGCTACGCGTGCATGCAATTACTAAACTGACTAAGGTGAATGGTTGCTAGGTGATAACAGAAAATGGGAGACAATTTAGTTCAATCAATGTGTGGAATCTTATTGTAGATGGCATCGGAAAATTAGCAGATCACATACTCCCATCCACTCTGGCCAGAGTCCTTGCACTGCAGCAATCAATCAAATAAAAGTTGCCATGGCCTTCTCAAATGAAGCTCCATCTACACGCACAAACACAATGTATTTATGTGAAGTGGCAAGAGAAAAATCAAGTGTAAAGTCTGTTAACCAGCCAAGAATAACAATGACTTCTGTATGCTTCGCTAGGGGAAGAACCCAAGCATTGAATTAGGCCTCTGAAAACCAGGTTCCATTTCTGACTTGGGCTCTGGCCTGCTGAATAACTTTCCCTCTCTGCCCTTCTGTTTTCCTTGCCATTTGTGTATCTTGTCTCATGAGACACTAAGATTTTGGGGACAGAGACCCTGTCTCTTACTATGTGTTTGTAGAGCATCTATCAACAAATGATAATAAGGCAATCATTCCAAGCTGTGTATAATGCATTGGTCATCCAATCAGAGAACAGACACAATACCATGTGACTGTTCGGGCACTCAGAACATTTATCAGTGAATTGTAAATAGCTAATATTCAACTGAAATCTTGCAGTAATCAGTCCATGTGAAATACATACATTAACATTTGATTATACATCAGCCTTCATCATCATTTTTGTGCTCCCTCCCATCGGTTTGTTGTATCTGCCCGTTGTGTCTCGTCTTGTACTTCTATTTAAAGTTCTTCAGGGCAGGGGCCATCTCTTTGTTATATGTGTACATTATCTAGCACAATGGGACTGAGACATCTAAAAGATAATCGTCATTAAAATAAGCACTTACTGAACAAGTTCTAATAATGAACAAATTGGTGAAAATCATGAGCTGTTTGCAGAAAATCCATGAACAAAAAAAAGGGTTTAACTTAGATTGTTGTTAATCAATAGCTGATCAGCTCTAGAGTTGATTGTGGATGGATGCCTCAAACATTGACCTCTATCAGGGCCATTAGCATAACATAGATTTTGAACCAACTAGTAACTAACTAGGGAAGAAACTCAGGAATTATAAATAATTTTCCCCAACTACTGTGCATATGCAGCAAGTTTATGGATCTAGACAAGTCAAAGAGGTACAATGAGGAGAACAATCATTAGAAATGCTAATGATGATGCCGAGCTTATAGTTAAAAGGATGAGAACAGATATGAATAGCTGTGGAAGATTGCTACCATTGTCTGTTAGGAAACCACAATTTCTCTGAACTGAGCAGCAGGTTATCCTCCTGGAAGTGTGTAGTGGAACCAAAATAGCACATTTATAATGCTTCGACCTTAAAAAAAAACAGTGGTTTCATACTGAGCACTGTAGGTCTGGAGATCATTATAAATTGGGGCTTCTCAACTTTGTCAGCATTCCTTCTCCTAAGCTATGGAAATATATTTAGCCCATCCTGATTATAAATATATTTAAAAGGGAGAATATTTGGGGGTCAAATTCCTAAGGAAAAACTATATTTTGAGGCTGTATTTTAATCATTTGACTAAGACTGCCAAATATATATTATTACATTGAAAATAACCCTATATTAATGTTGAAAAGGCAAGTACTAGAAAGTTAGGAAATGTCAAACTTAAGGTTGCATTGGCAAACTTAATTTGGATACTTTGTGCATATGTATTAAGACACAGCCTTAAATTATGTGATCACATACTATTTTTTCTTGGTAGTGCTACCCATATTTAAAGTTGCCTGACACTTCCCATTATAAGACCCTGCTTTCAGTTACTTACAACTTCGCTATAGAGGTGTTAAACTATAGAAAAAAGGTGGGTGACGTAATATCTTTTATTGGATCGACTTTTGTTGGTGAGAGAGAGAGAAGCTTTTGAGGCACAAGGAGCTCTTCCTCATGTCTGGGAAAGGTACTCTGAGCATCACAGCAAACTGAAAGATGGAATAGATTGTTTAGCATAAGTTGTTAGCACATATTGAAAGGGACCATTCAAGGTAGAGTGGTCCATTAACATTACTGCAGGCATAGGATAAAAGGGGGGAGCGTTAATGGATTGCAGATTGTTTGTTGTAATAAACCATAATTCCAAAGACCAGCCTAGGAGTTTAAATTTGTAACTCTGCTAGACACTAAAAATAATGGACTGAACAGAGACACTAGATTTATGATTTATTACAATCATCTGTAACCCACTAACCTAACCCTCTTTTTGTCCTGTGGCTGCAGAGGTGTTAAGGGGCCACTTTACCTTGAGTGGATCTTATGCTAAACAATCTGTTCCACCTTGCATTTAGCTGTGATGCTCAGAGTACCTTTCCAGACCTGAAGAAGAGCCCTGTGTGGCTTGAAAGCTTCTTTCTCTCACCAACAGAAGTTGGTTCAACTTCACCCACCTTATCTCTCTAATATCCTAGAACCGACACAGCCACAACTACACTTAGGATGACCAGATATCCCGATTTTATAGGGACAGTCCCGATTTTTGGGTCTTTCTCTTATATAGGCTCCTATTACGCCCCCCCACCCTGTCCCGATTTTTCACATTGCTGTCTGGTCACCCTAACTACACTGCATTTGGCAAACTATAACCATTTGGGCTGAAATTTTCCATGCTGATCATCTGCCTCAGGCTGAGAATGAAATAAAGGGCAAATGAATTGTTTTGCCAATGTTAAAAATATTCTTACAACTGTTCTGTTGAGAAAATCTACCACCCCCTTTCCTTAGAGCAGAGACATGTCATAGAATCATAGAATATCAGGGTTGGAAGGGACCTCTGGGGGTCATCTAATCCAACCCCCTGCTCAAAGCAGGACCATTCCCCAGCTAAATCATCCCAGCCAGGGCTTTGTCAAGCCTGACCTTAAAAACCTCTAAGGAAGGAGATTCCACCACCTCCCTAGGTAACCCATTCCAGTGTTTCACCACCCTCCTAGTGAAAGTTTTTTTCCTAATATCCAACCTAAACCTCCCCCACAAATGTCATTTGGTAAGTGAGTTGCTTTGGTGTCAGGGATGTACCATTTGCCATTTCCATGAAAATTTTCCCAAATTTGGACAACTTATGAGCTTCTGGAAATCTCACTTTGCCCTTGCTCAGTAAAGGCTTGTTAGAATTTGGCTGCTAAATTAGCTGCAGATTCATCTTCAACGAGCATGCTCCAGCCCCTACGTATGGCCAGACTGCACATACGTCATCCCCACAGAGCTAGTAAGCAGGCTCCATGAGGCACTGAGCTGGTCTTTCTCTGCAATTGATCCTCTCCTCTGCTTGGGGTTGCCATGGCACCAGGCACCAGAATTGAGAGCAGGTGGCTTGTCTCACCAGTGCTTTCAAGAAGTTCCTTGCTGGGGCACAGGCAGCATGGAGCAGGAAGCTGCCTGATTTGAATGCAGAGGGCTGAGGAAGGTGTAAGGGGGAGAATAGGAGGAAGGGAGGAAAGAAGGGCAGCAGGAATCAGACAGTGAGGAGAGCAGAGTAGGAAAAGGCTAATGGGGGCATAGGAGCAGAAGAAGAGGGAGGCAGGACCCAGGGTGGAAGGGAAGGGAGGGGTGGGCTAGACAGGGGTTCTGTGGAATAAATAGGATGTGAGCATGCAACTAAAGACTATCAGTATGCATAGGAACAAGGAGGCCCAATTAAGGTTACTCAGGTAACTTAATTCTAGCACTTTCTAAAGTTTGAATGCTTGACTTTGCAACCTGAATCTTTTAATGTGGGGGGTGTGTGTGTGTGTGTGTGTGTGTGTGTGTGTGTGTGTGTGTGTGTGTGTGTGTGTGTG